ACAATATAATTTAAGTTACAATTAATTATAGTAATTATAACTAATTGCGATTCCCTGTAATAATTGCAACTAATTGCAATATGCGGTTAATTAAGTTAATAATGTTATAATATTTAATTAATTTTTTATTTGTTGCAACATAATAAAATAATTGTTGTTACCATCTTTAATATTATACCTTTTTTTAATTTCTTCTTTTCCAAACACTTTTCCTTATAAAAATTTAGCTCAATTTTTAAAAAAAAAATGATAAATTTATAAGAAAAAACTAGCTAATATGATCATATTTCATTGAAGACTTTAATGATAATAATAAACTAGTTATACTTTATCAAATAATAAAGTAAAATAAAATAAAATGTGATATAAAACTTAAATATAATAGTTCAACAGATAATAAAAATAGCTATTTATGCTGCTTATAAAATAACTAAAAATAGAGAACAATTATATTATAATATTTATATTAGTAAAAATCTTATTTTTTTATTTATTATTTTTTATATCTAGTTTTATTAAAAATTATGTATAGTATACAATAATAAAACTTAACATAATAATACAAATTCAGAAAAGTGATAAACTAAAATTTGATAATTTTTAACTAATTGGATTATTGATAACTCCCTTAAGAGAGATTGTTTTCAGATACAGGTAGCATGGGGAATATTTCTAATTTAGTAATGATTTGTCAATTATTGCTGATCATTATTGATAATTATTTATTAATTAAATGATACGTGAAAAATACAAAAAAAATATTAAAAATATAAAAATTATAACAATAAGATCAATAGATATAATGTTTATTTAAACCAAATGTTTATAAAAATTAAAATAAAGATAAAGAATAAAAGAATTTTTCTTGTGCTAATATATTTTCACTTATTTCATCTTCAAACATATCATTATCTTCATCTGTAATCCCATCATCCTCTTCTTTCAAAATAAGTGAATCTTCTGATATTCCTTTTGATAATCTATCTATAAAACTTTGAGAAAGTTTTTTAATTCCATCACAAAAATAACGTGTACAAGGTAAATATATGAAATTTAAAGTTTTTAAACAATCACTATGATATGCATGACCACAGATTAAAACCTGCCGTGAACTTTCTGTG